GGGCCATGCTTTGGGCCATGCCTTGGGCAGTTGGGCCATCAATAGTCTAAAGTTATGGGCCAATGATGTATTTGAGCTTGGGGTGAGGCCCATTGGAGGGAGTGGGCCCAGTTTAGCAAAGTGGGCCGTTAGTGGACTTGGGAAGTTTATCTACTGTTGGGCCCGCCAATTAGATTGAGAATTGGGCCTTGGTGGGTCCAATGGGTTTAGGTCATTATTGGGCTGGTCAGTGGGCTATTATTAGACCTAAAGAGAGAGAGTTGGACTTAGTACCTAATTGGGGTAATTGTGGGCTTTTGCACAGACTTAGAGAACGAAGTATAGCGGCAGCATTACTAGAGGCTGTTCATCATACGAGGTGAGTCTTCTCACTATACCTTACCTAGAGTGGTAATTATGTGTAACCGGAAGGTCTTATGTACTATGACGAGTGTATGATATATGTTGTTATGTGAGATGTATATGTTATGTATGTTATGAGTAGCATGGTATGGACCGGAAGGTCAACAGTGTATGGACCGGAAGGTCAATATGGTATGGACCGGAAGGTCGACAGAGTAGGATCGGAAGGTCTACTCAGAGTGTGGGACCGGAAGGCCCCTGAGACACATTCACCGGAAGGTCTCGTAGAGCTATAGCGTAGAGTGGCTTATGTGTTGTATGTAGTATTTTGGGGAACTCACTAAGCTTCGTGCTTACTGTGTTATGTGTTATGTGTTTCAGGTTCTTATCAGGATCGTGGGAAGGCACCAGCATGATTGTACACACACACTATGTTTTGGGAAGAGCTACTGCGGATCCTGAATTTTATGTGATGATTTGAAAACTTTGTTAAATGAATATTTGGAGTTGAACAATATGATATATGTTTTTATGAATTGAAAATGAAAAATTGGTTTGAATTTTCACGACGTTACATGTTTCCTTCCAATGATCCTAATTTGAAATTTATTGCTCATAAATAAAAAGGAAAATCTGCATAAAAGTCCATATATTTTGACTTTATTAAAAAAAAGTAACCCCTGTTTGTTTGTTTTTCGTTTTTATTTTTTATTTATTTATTTATTTTTTTTACAATTTTACCATTCAAACGGGCTATTATTTACAATTGGGCTCATATTTCAAGTAAACACCTACAATACAAGGTTTTGATGATTAAATTGCAAAAAAAAATATCAAGGGTGACTTTTTTTATCAATAGACCAAAATTTATGTATTTTATTTTTCAATGCATAATAACTTTTAAGCTTAAATCCTATATATTTAACATTGAGGCGTGTTTGGAAGTGCTTTTTTAAAATGACTTATTAATGTATTGACTTTTCAAGAAGCCAACAAGCTAAAAAGAGCTTGGTATAGACTAACTTTTTAGGCAAAAATATGATTTTTTTCAAAAAGTCAGGAATACTTGGTTTTTCCAAAAGACCAATAAGGAGTTTCAAAACCACTTCCAAACATGTTCAAAGAGGCTGTTTGAGATTTCATTTTGATCTTTGAAATGACTTTTAGGCAAAATACTTGGTTTCTCAAAAAAAAAAAAAACAAAATAAGGAGTTTAAATCCACTTCCAAACATGTCCAAATAGGGTGTTTGAGATTTCATTTTGATCCTCAAAATGACTTTTAGGCAAAATGATTTATTGACTTATGGTAGTCAGAAAATTAGTTTGATTTGCTTTTTTGGTTAGAAAGTCAATAAGTCATTTTTTAAAAAGTGGTAGATATATATTTCAAAAACCCAAAAAAACAATAATTACTTTTTAAATGAGATCACAAACACCCTGTAAATTATAATCTATTTTTGTTGAAGCAACCATTACAATTTGTTTGATTTTTAATATGTTATAATAAATAAATACTATTTTTACTTATACTTCTATTTAATAAAATATAAAAACTGATTAAAATTTGTTTTAATTCCATCAATAAAAAGTAATAGATACATTTCATAACAATATATTTTTACATTTGAACCGGTTTTTATATTTTATTAACTAGCAGCACAATTAAAAAAATTATATTTATTTATTATCATATATTAGAAATCAAACAAATTGTAATAGTTGTTTAAAAAAATAGATTATAAATAAATAAGATTTAAGGTTAAATATTATTATGCATTGAAAAGAAAAGTACTTATATTTTGACTATTGATGAAAAAGACACCATTAATATTTCTTTTTGTCATCTAACCATCGAAACCTGCTATTGTATGCGTTTACCTGAAAACAAAGCTCAATCACAAATAATAACTGGTTTCAATGGTTAAATTGCAAAAAAAAGATATGTAAACGAAAGTAGCGATATTTTTAACGATTTGATGAAAAAATCCTAAACTTTATTTTTTTTTTACTGTAAAGTCCTAACTACCGGCAGTTTTAACACGTTTACAAATTTTTTCGGGTTAACCGGTGATATTAGTTCATAAAACATCACTAGAATCAGGTCCCTTATTAATTGAAATTCTAATTCCAATTTTGAATATCATCCACTATTTTTCAAGAAACCTAATTTGAAACTCTCTATTCCTTTAATTGATCTTGGGAAAACCCTAGTCAAAGATCTCTTGTTGGCTATCTTGTTTTTCAATATGCTTCCGCCTCTATAAAGTCGAACCTATCGTATCGACTAGGTCAAGAGAACAAACTAATGGACGAAATGGAGCAAGTGAAGAGGGCTAGTAGGCCTCTTCACCTTTCAACAACAACAAAATAAAAAAGAAAGAATCGTGCAAACGATGTATACAATTAAATAGCTAATAAACTGAAAAAACTTTATGATCTTGAAAAAATCCTAGCTAATGATCATGGGAGCGCGGAAGGAGGGGCGAAGTAGGCAGCTGCACAAGACTCAATTTTTTAGGCCAATTTTTTATTATTATGTTATATATGTATATATATTTATTTAAAAATAAAAAACTTATAATAACGATAAGGACCATTTTTTCTAACTCGTCCAGATTAAAGGATATTTAAACCCTTAGAATTGGCTCTGTCATAGTTCCATGGGGCTTCTTGTTCCATATGTTTTTGTCGAATGCAATGGGTAATAGCAAAAAGAGCGCCAGAGAGGGATGGAGCATCCAAGCATCTTAAGAGGGTAAAGTCGGATACATTCGAATATGCCCCGAGGTGGGTTCAACATTGTCTTCTTGTCGAGTAAAAGACGAATTAAACTTTAAGAGGATTTTTAATGTTTGTTTTTCTAAAAGGTTTTTTCTATTTTTGAAAATAATATTTATTAATTGGAAATAATATTTTTTAAAGATTACTTCAAATACTTATTAACTATTAATATTTTTAATATTTGTATTTGTCTATCGTATTTAACCCTTACATTAGTAAACTATTATATTTTGTATCCAATGATATTTAGATATTATAATTTTTATTACTTAATCAATTAATTTTATATAAAAATAAAATGAAATATACTTTATAAAAAATCACATATTTGAAAATTTATTAAAATTGTCTAAATTTAAAAATATCAAATATTATAAACCATTTTGGTTACATAATATTTTATTATTTTTTAATTTTGTAACACCTTCCATTGATGCAACACTTTCCACTGGCGTCACCCTCTGAATCGGTAGGCTTTTCTCATCATTAGTTCTTGCGAACAGATAAATCAAAGCATTATGTTTTTTGATTTTGGGAAAACCAAAGCACCAGGTTTGCAATTTCTCGTCGTTAAGATCAACTGAAAAATCCAACACACGATCAAGCCAAAATTTGAACATCACTTGTGTGATGCAAGTCTTCAAGATCACCATCTGCCTATAAAAGTTAGAAATAAAGGAAGATATGAGGAAGCGTTGCCATTTGGACCGAACAAAACAGTAGTCGACGATGTATTGTAGGTGTAAATACATTATCTGATATTGTTTGTTGTGTGAAGTTTATTGAATACGAAGACATAAGTCGACTGAAAAAGTGTGTGGTGCCTATGAGGTGCGACTACGAGTATCGATCAATTGAAGGATCAGAAGTTAAGTGCGAGTTACTTAACCCCTTGTTTTTATAATTTATTTTTCTTTTTATAATATCTTTTGTCTCATTTTGACCCTTGAAAATGGTAGTATTTAATCATATAAGAATTGTTGGTTTCTTATTGGTCGACACTTGAATTTTTTTCCAAACACAGCCATCATGCTCTCTTTTGGAAACATTAAGTTTTGTAAAAAATTTATAATGTAAGACTTGGACTATATCTCTCAAAACAATAGAAATTAATATTAATCTAATAAATTTTTAACTAAAAGTTTAACATCAAAACTTAAATTCAGGATTTTCAAATTCAGATATGTTTCACTAGCCAAGCTAAAACCACCACCTCCCCCATCGACCCACCCACTACTGCCACTTTCGTAGATTTTTTGTGTATTACACTTTAACCACAAGGCTTTAATATATTGAAAGGCTTGTTCCATACAAAAAAAAAAATTAGTTACGTAAGTTCGATTTCTACATATGAAACTGTATATAATAATTTACTAGTTTATTCTAAAATTGTATTAGGATTAACTCCCACACACGGATGAAACCATCCATTGACCAAATTTTTGTGATGAGGGGTGGAAGTGTGGAACATACGAACAAAGCCGCCTGGAATCATGAGGTATCGAGTTAGGTTTCCGTCGAGTTCAACCAGGTTTTGGAACATTGTTCACTTACCTCGTAATCCTCTCCATTTTTCTTTCTCCTAGTTGTCTCTACTCTCAACATGAACGTTGCAATCAGGCGACAACATATAGAGGCTCAGGCGACAACATATAGAACAACAAGTCATCAGCAAAACCACAAGGTCTTTAATTAGGGTTCCTTAGAGATCAATTTAGAAGCACATGATTCTTAGCATTGGTAGTTGGTATTGGGATTGGAATTGGAATTCCTTGAGTTTTCTTATTCTGGTTCCAGAAAACCATCAACGATAGAAGTGGAGCTCTGTTTTGGATAGAAGTGGTGGCGTCAAGAATCAAAGGCTAGGTGCCCGAGAATGTCAGACGCACCAATCAACCGCCTCAAGGCCTTACTCCTACTGGGAAAGCAGACATGTCAACGGTTTACTCTTTCCGAGATTCAATTGGCAACCAACAACTTTGACGATACTTTAGTCATTGGGCGTGGAGGATTCGGTAATGTGTATAAATGCCGGATGAAGATAGGGTTAGTAAGCGAAGTTGCAGTAAAAAGGCTGCACTCCATGTCCACCCAAGGGGCCCATGAATTTGAAGCGGAAGTTAAAGTTCTTTCTAAGCTTGGACATGGTAATCTTGTGTCTCTGGTTGGTTATTGCAATGAAGGAAATGAGATGCTCCTAGCTTATGAGTTCATGCCTAGCTAATGGGACACTTAAAGATCATCTTCACAAAACTGATTCCAAATTATCTTGGTTACGACGACTCAAGATATGTATAGGTGCCGCACGTGGATTAGACTACCTTCACACAGGCACATCATCCCAAAATGGAGTTATACATCGTGATGTGAAGGCATCTAATATTTTGTTGGATGCAAACTTTGCTGCTAAAATTTCAGATTTTGGATTGGCCAAAGTTGGTCCGATAGATCAGACAAGAACTTATGTCAGCACCAATGTCAAAGGGACATTTGGCTATATGGACCCATCCTATTTCCATACTGGAAAATTGACTAGAAAATCTGATGTTTACGCCTTTGGAGTTGTATTGTTTGAGGTATTGTCCGGGAGGCAAGCGGTAGATTCAACGCTTGATGAAGAGCAATGGGGCTTAGCACCTTGGGCCCAAAGCCAAATCAAAGAGGGAAAAGTCAATGAAATTATTGACTCTAGACTGATAAGACAAATCTCAAAAAATTGTTTGAAGCGGTTTGTAAGCATAGCAAGCAATTGTTTACGTACTAAACCAAAAGATCGCCCTACCATGGCTGATGTTGTCATTAAGCTCAAGTCTATTATGTCGAAAGAAAGGGAAAAAAAAATTTCTTTGGTTAATAAAGACGGATTACTTTACAAGGTAAGGGATTTTTTTACTTGCAACTATGACATTATGTCAGATGGTAGGGTAAGAAGCAAATCTGTGATGTCTGATGTTGCAGTAAGAAGCAAATTTGTGATCCCTGATGTTACAGGAGGAAGCAACTCTGTAATTTCTGGTGTTGCAGTGGAAAGCAAATCTTTGATGTCTGGTGTTGCAGTAGGAAGCAAATCTGTGAAGCAGGATGATAAAGTCCTTAGCAAATCTGATTTTAGTGCTCAAAATATCCCGAAATCTACAACTGGAAGTATCAGAATATTTACATACGATGAGTTGGTAAGTGCAACAAATGATTTCAAAGACATGGAGCGTTCTCCTACTTCTTATGGATCCATTTACAAAGGTTGGGTTGATGAAAAGTCATATGCACCCACAAAATGTGGAGTTGGTTTGGCGATATATGTTAGGAAGGAGGAGATTCTAACCTGGAAGGTAATTTCAGTATGTAAAATGATGACGTGGGACTTACTTTGGATAGAAAAATTGATAGACCTTGTATTTTTCATGCTCTATGACCTTTAATTTTTAGCTTATATATTAAGGCACTGAACTACATTGACAATTTGGTTGGACGTTGTATTTTTCATGCTTTGTGATCTTTTGTAGCTTATATATTAAGGCACTGAACTACATTGACAATTTGGCTAGACCTTGTATTCTTCATGCTTTGTGATTTTTTCTAGCTTATATATTAAGGTACCGAACCACATTGACAATTTGGCTGTGCAGTTGGACTTGAAAATATTAGAATTCAGTCATCCCAATATTACCAAACTTTTGGGATATTGCTTGTCTAATGTAACTATCTTTTGGGTATATGAGCTCATTCCAGGGATATGTTTAGATGATCATCTATTCAAAGGTAAGCTGTAAGCATATCTTCTATTTTTTACTTCTATAGAACCCTTTGGACTTCCATCTTACAGATTGGATACATGTTAACTATTTTGATGCAGCACCAGATAGAACTCCACTTTCTTGGGCTGCACGATTGAAAATAGCACAAGGAGCAGCTAAAGGCCTGTCTTTCTTCCATCAGAGGAATCATCCAGCTTATAATAGTTTTGATGGCAATCATATATTGGTGGACAGGGTAATGTACACTGCCTTTGACTTGCTTGCATTTTGCATGGAAAAGGTAACATCAATTTTAGTTTTTCGTCTCTTGCATATTTTCAGGATTTTAATGCTCGGCTTTCGGATTATAAAATAGACAATTTACTTGCCCCAACTGGCTGCTCTACTTTCAAAAGAGACAAATTGGATGGTATTTTTGGATCTGTGCCCTGGAGATGGTATGTTCTTTTGTAAAAAATAAAGTTTTCTATACATCTACCTCCTTTAATAAACAAAACTTCTAAATGCCACATGTCCCTTTTCTGGATAGACTAATTGACACGTGGCAATTTTTAAAGAATTCTTAATTTTCAGTTTTTTTTGTAATTGCTAAAAATCTTTCAAATATCCATTTTTTTGGTAACATAAATATTTGAAAATGGTAAGTATTTATAACATAACTATTCAAAAATGGGAACTATTTATAAGGAATTTTAAATTTTTTTTTAATCGGATTTTAATTTCTAAAATACGATTTAAATTTTAGGACGGTAATGCTTTAAAAGACTAATAAAACAGCTTTTAGTTTTATCTAATAGTCATTTATGATATTTTTTTCCATGATAAAATTTTTAATTGTTAACTTTTTTTGTCTATATAAAATTTTTAATCATACCAAGCGTGGTTTCACGGGTTATAATCTAGTTCTCAATATATATGGGAAAATGTTGAAATACTCCATTGAACTATTGGCCTAGTCTAAGGTGTTGTTTGTTTTTTGGAAAAAACCTCTTCAGAACTCTTATTGCTGCTGTAACATCGTAAATTTCAAAACAATTTTTCACTTTTAAAGATATAATTTCATTCGTAAATATTCTCAAATCCCAATGTATCACATATCAAATCCATAAAAACACATCCCAAGATCAAAATGTATAAAACTCCAATAGTGTGTACTGATCATGTCGGCGCCTTCCCGCGATTCTCACTGGTACCTGAAACACATAACACAAAACACTGTAAGCATAAATGCTTAGTGAGTTCCCCAAAATACCACATATAACACATATTAGTCACTCGAGGCTATAACTCTGTGGACCCTCTGGTCCTACTCTGTGGACCTTCCGGTCCTAACTCTGTAAACTCTGGAATACACACAACATAAATCACATAGAAATAATGCAGTGCAACACATCACATATATAGCATACAAGATACTCTGTCACATAACTCTACTTACCACTCAAGGTATAGTATAGTGAGAAGACTCACCTCGGATAACTCGGTAACCCTCGAATTTGGAAATACTGATCTAGCCTCCGCCTAATCACATAAAATAGTTGCTCTAATCAATACGACTTTCAAAGTCTAGGCTAAACCCTCTCTTAGTACCCTCAGAAGGGTAAAAGACCATTTTACCCCTCTCACGGCTCAAAGACCCTAATATTGACCAAACCCTAAAAGTCAACAAAAGTCAACAGTCAAACTTTGACCTAGACTCCTCGAGTGCACTCGTGTGACTCGGCGAGTACATGCTTGTCCCCTTCGTCCCTGGTCTTCACTCGACTCGCTGAGTCAACCCCACACTCAACGGGTTATCACAGGCACGAATCGCGGGGCAACCCGACTCGACTCGTCGAGTCCACTTATGGACTCGGCGAGTTCCTCCCATGACATCACTCATCTGACCTCCTGAGGTCAGATCTGCTTCTCTAATCTATAGACTGACTTCCCCATGACCAATAAACACGTAAAGGTCGAATCTTGCTACACATGCAATGCTCCCAAGGCTTATTTTTGGTGAAATCCCTTCTAACATGGCCACCTATGTCCATTTCCTCCAAAGAACCACAAAAAGCAGTATGGTTCAGGCTCTCTGGACCTCAAAAGGTCCAGATCTAGAGTTTAGCACTCAATGGGACACCATACACAACTAAACAAGCCATAAAAGGGTATAGAAAACCCTAGATTCAATGCCCTTAAGCAAAACAAGAAGATAGGATCGAATAGCTACCTCAAACTTGAAGATCCAAGCTGAAAACCCACTGAAGTGAAATCCTCTTGACCTCCCCTTGCTGGAAACACTTTCTCCTTTGCAAAATCACACCAAAAATGATCAAAAAGGCTCAAACTCTCTCACAACTCGCTCACAATCGCTAGGGTATCTCTCTCTGGACTGGTAGCCGCAAATGGAGGCCATAAAGGCCTTTAAATAGGGCTCAGGCCCTGGGATTTAGGGTTTCATTTTACAGCGCGGACTCGCCGAGTCCACGCATCGACTCGTCGAGTCCTTCATTAAATCGGGCAAGAATTCGCGATCCTACTCGGCGAGTCTGAGCGCCTACTCGCCGAGTCCCTCCCTAAAACTCAAGATAAACACTTAAAATAGGATACCTGAGAATCCGGATGTTACAGCTGCACGGCGCAGCACACACACAACATTTTTCATCTCGCGGTTGTTTGTTTTTTAAATGTCTTCGGAGTAAAAAACTTCAACGCCTGTCTGTTTGGCGCAACACTTGTATTGTCTCTTCCAACCTCTTTTTTTTTTTTCATGTTGCTGAAATCTTATTTCACCTTTTTTTTTATTTTGTTCTTATTTTGTTTATTCTTGTTGAATGTTTTTTTTTTGTTTTTTTTATTGAATAATGATAATTTATTGATGAAATATCATTATTTTTTGCTAAAATATCTTTATTTTTTTTTATTAAATTATCATTATTTTTTGCTGAATTGCTAAAATGTCATACATTATTAAATTTTTGGTATTAAAAAAACTATTTTCGGTTTATAAAATTAGTTTATTTTAATTTTTTAATATCTGGAGCAGCATGCACATGTTAAAAAAACAAATACGCATCTTATTACAGTTTGCAGCCGTTTGGTCCACCTCTTCTACTGCAGAGGGTTGCAGAGGTGGTCTGCAGACTTTATGAATTTTTACTTCAGAAAATGAAAAGGTAAAAATATAATGGTTAGGTTGCAAGGGTTGCAATGGTTTAAGTTGTGTGCTTGTTTGCTTACTCTCAACTTTTCATTTTAAGTGAAGTTTATAACATTTTTCTAAAAAAAAAAAACATTCCTTTAGTGTTCCCTATAGTTTCTTAAGTCCTTTTTATAGTACAAGTATTTTAACTAACCCCTTTATAAGAGTTTCACTTATACCACCATTTTATATGCATATGTATACATTCATTTTCTGAAAACAAGGGGCAGCTTTTTTTTTTCTTCCAAAAACAATACCTTTATAAGTATTTTTGAAAAAAAAAGGGTGTTCCATTGACTAAAATTCTGAATTATTTGTGCAAACATTATCGACTGACCAATTAAACATCTCTTTGGCAGAATCTGGAGTGCAGAGTGAGATCTATGCTTTTGGAGTGGTACTGCTGAAAATGCTAACAGGGATGAAGAAGTATGATGAAAGGATACCTCTCCAACAGAAAAATTTGATGGAATGGGCTACTCCATTACTAGCGAACGAGGTAAATTTGGGAATGATTATGGATCCTCAACTTCAACATAATGATCATCCTCCAAAGGGAGCATTCCAATTGGCTCAACTTGTTTTAAAGTGTCTTCAACCAACCCGAGGCAAAAATTTGTCAATTGAAGAAATCTCCCAAGCCTTGTATCAGTGCTATAAAAAAGAAATCACATCAGTTTGACTCTGAGATATCAAACACAATAATTCTTATGTAAATAAATTTAAGAAAGTAAAGTGTATGTTGCTGCAAATATTAAAATTGTGAAGACTTGACCTCTCACTCGTTTACTTTCATGGGCTAGAGTACTGTCTTCTGTTAGTTTTTATTAACATTATTCGTTACAGGTAGCCACCCGCTTTCTAATGTGCACATTTTTTTGTGGGCGTACAATATTATTAACATCCATACACTATTTCTTACCAATTTAAAACTGAAGCTTTATCTAATGAACGCATGCCTTTATGGGTTTCCCATTATTTTGACACTAGCTTAATTCACGATTCACCAATATATACCAGTTGTACAATTCATGAATGCTTCCATCTCTTGATGTTGATTCTAGTCCACATGGTTGTTAGATATGTGTATTTATCATTGCTAGGTCGACCCTAATATCATGAAGCTGCAGATAGGAAGTAGATAAGAAACTTCTTCATTGTATTTAATTAATCATTGTGTTCGAAACTACAAATGTTGACTTATGGACTAATGTTCTAGGAGAGATGTAACACTTTTGTTACAAAGGAACTTGCAGGCACAAAGTCACACCTCTTCCCCTGAAATTACAAATGTTGGAGATTTCAGGCCATGACAAGTCTCAGGTGATAATGTTGTGGATGACATAGCGGCTATGGATTTTCTTTTCATATGTGCAAGGGATTGACAAGAAAAAAGGGTATGGAAAAACTAGAGGGTATCGAAATTTATGATATCCCCCTGTGTAGTGTGTATTCAAAATAGTGACCAAATGCATGCTTTTTTTTGAAGAAGAATATTAGTGATGGTAGGAAGTATTAGTTGTGTAAAAACAATAATAGTAGCATGCAAGATGCTAGAGAGAGTTCAAGAACACACCCAGATTAATACTTTTATTACGAACAATGGAAGAAATATCAAGAACATGGTGACAAGGAGGAACTTTAAAGAAGTTATATCGGATGCACTGGCCACTGGTGACTGTTATGATGGAAACCATAATCAAGGCAATAGCTCCAATTATATTAGGTCATGGCCTCACCTACCACAGTACTAATAAAATGATAAAAGGACCCGGTTAAATACTTTATATAACCCTGTTCTGGGCGAGTCATATGAATGAAAATCTAATAGTATCCGGTTTACAACTAGGACTTGTTATCTTATTACAGCCCGGTTTCCTTATAAAACTGGGTTTTTTTCGTTTGGATACTTTTTAGCTTTAAAATATGATGTTTGAATGGTTGAACATACTTTTACTTTTGTTGGGAAATGATTTGTTTGTGGTTTATTTTCTGCCTTCCTACGTGAGTGATAGACCCTGATACATTCTTGATACATTCTTCAACAGATAATCAAACTATGATAATATTAACATGATAATCCCATTCATTTGAGAGGAATTGACTCTCAAAAGAAGAACAAAGTTCTTTACAAATTAATTCTTATCTCCTAAACAAAAAACCTAAAGACGGAAATAAATAGAAGACATGACTAAGGGGAGTGGTCCCATTAAACAGACCTGGGACAATGTTAGGTGCTCCCAACATTACAAACAGCCATTACAAGAAGAAGGGCAATGCTGGCAGCAAGAAAGCTACAAGTGGAAGAAGACCAATTGACTGGTAGAAAGTTACAAGAAGAATACCATCAAGAAGGAATGGTGAAAAGTAGTTTTCCAGATAAAGATAAAGATGAAGATTAAGACGAAGAGCCTAAAATCAGTAGCATAAGTAAGGCACATCAAAAGCACATCCTGTATCAGATCACATGGCTCCCTGATATCCGCATTGCTACAGATGAAGAACATTCTTCTAGGTTTTCGTATCAAGCCTAGTCGAAAATGATTTTCGGTGGGATATTCCAAATTCCTCAAATGCAAGATGGTGGAAATGTATGATAGGATGAGCATCAATTGTCCTCTTGATAAGTTACTGACTATGGAACATAATCTATTGTTGGGATATCATCACACATGGGCTCAATTTACTGATAAAATTTGGTCCAACAGATCAATCATAAGGTGAATAGGTCTCAAGTAGAGGATGTTCATGAATTCGAGGAACTAAGAATTTTCTTTTGAAGGAAGTGATGGAACAAAAAATATTGTCACGCACGCATAATTTCCATTCATGAATCCTGTTGACGTCCTGATGCTGGGGAGATATATGGTTCGAATATAAAGAAGAGATAGATCATCAAGACACTTTCCCCTACACTGTTCTGAACAACCACCTTGAAATTTAGCAGTTGACTTTAGGAGAATTAATGGAGAATTTCACAAGTAGCAACATCATCATGAGCTACTTGTTGAGATGGATACTTCTAATGATGATATCGACAATCATCAGTATGGTGCAACTGACGATCCGGAAATAGGGATCGTCATTAGAAGCCAAAAGTACAAGAAGTCATTCTTCCAACTTGGTTATGTGGTATTCTGTGAATCTCGATGGATTTTTTGAAGCTACTTCAAAGTCAAAGCACTGTTCCAAAGATGTTAAAGAAACAATCCTTATGGAGTTGAATTGGATGTTCACTATAAGGAAATATTCGCAAAGAATTTTGGATTTTCTTGAGCTTAAATAGTCAGCTCTACCAATGGTCACCTAAGGGATTTTGTTAGTACACCAAAGGAAGTGAACGAGAAGAGACTGTGGCTTAGTATTTGTACTCCGTAGTTGTCCAATTTGTTGAGGTATGAAGTCTTGTCTAACATGGAGCATTTGGATCATGTTCATGGAGCATGTGGAGCACTTGGAACTCAATGGAGCACTTAAGGTTCATGGAGAACGTGACAAAGTAATGGATCATCTGAGAAAGGAATGGATCATCTAACAAAGGAACATATTATATAGAAGGGGGTTTGTAGAACCTAGAAGAGGTTTGAAGCACTTGGGAGTGATATGGAGCAACAAGTGGACCTTGTTGCACCATATGATAATGGGATGTGCAAAGAAGGATTCTCTTGCACCATGGTATTCCTTCTTGCACCATAATTCTCTCTCTTACGTCATGAGGATCCCTCTTGCACCATGAGGTATGTTCTTGTGTCATGCATGGGCTTGTTGCGCCATGCATGTTCTTGCGCCATGGTGGTGTTGTTTCTTTAATCTTGATGTTCTTGCGCCACACTTGAATCCTGTTGCGCCATCCTTGCACATGTTGCTCCATCATTGTGCAAGATGGGTCATTTTGGATCCTTGATGAGCCGTGCTATCCTTGATGAGCCACGTATGCTATTAAGTCCTATGTGATGCTCAAGATCGTTCAAGGATGCTCATAAGTTGGCCTTGTTTAGGAAATACACCTTGTTGTGCCACCATGAAGGATGTTGGGCCATTAGTGGTCATGATGCACCACATGTACATCATGATGCTCCACTATAGTCAAGGTGGTCCATCATGTGTGTTGCTGATGCTCATGGGTTGTATGACAGGGATGAAGGTTCCAGAAGATGTTGCATGGCGGGATACGATTGGGTGTCACCATTCATGGGCTTATGGGCCAGTTGGCATGACCTTTTAGGGTTTTAGGTATGATCCCTCAAGTATAAATAGACTCGCATCTCCATCATTATGTGTGTGCAGAAATTTTAAGAGTAATCATTATAAGGTTGAGAGCACTCCCTTGGAGCATTTAGTAAGCAAGATATATTCTTTTGTTTTCAGAACTCAAATGAGGTGTAACCTTTGTGTCATTGTAACTGTTCTTGGATGTTAATAAAATCCTCTCTCTCCCGTTTGTTGGTGGATGTAGGTCACGTTGACTGAACCACGTTAAATATTGTGTCCACCTAATTTACATTTTTAGAAATTATATTTTCGCAAGCTCAACAAAGTTTGTTTTGATATTTGTCTGAAGTGCTTAAATTGTTTTCTTGTCACCCAACAAACTGGTATCAGAGCTATGGCTATAGATGGGAGAGTGAAGATCGACAAATTCAATTTGCATGATTTTGGTTTCTAGAAAATGCAAATCGAAGACTACCTCTACCAAAAGAATTTACATGAACCATTGTCCAAAAGTAAACTTGAATAAATGAAGCAGTACGATTGGGAATTGTTAGATCATAAGGCACTTGCTGTAGTGAGATTATCCTTGGCAAAGATTGTAGCATACAACATTGTCAATGTGAAGACTACTCATAAGTTGATCAATGTACTATCTAACATGTATGAAAAACCTTCAGCAACGAACAAGGTTCACTTGATTCGACAATTGGTAAATCTGAAGATGAAGGAGGGTGGCTTAGTGACTGATCATGTTAATGAATTGAATTCAATCCTATCAAGGTTGATATCGGTTGATATTAAGTTTGAAGATGAAGTCATGACATTGTTACTGTTATCATCTTAGTTATATAGTTGGTCCGATATAGTGACAACAGTTACCATCTCAGCTGGGGGTGCTAAGCTTACATTCGAAGGCATTCACAATTTAATCCTTGGTGAGGATGAATGCAGATAGAGTGCTGGAGAAGCTTCCAATAGTCTTCTGAGTACTGAAGATATTGGAAGGGGTATAACAAGGGATGTAGGGTAGTGGAAGATCGAAGTCGAGAAGGAGAGGTGGACAGAACCACATGTGGGATGCGACATGTTGGAACTGCAAAGAGAGTGGTCATGTCAATAGTCATTGCCCAATGCTAATAGTAGATAAAGGCCAAAAGGAGATGAATATGGAAGAAGATTTTGAAGGTGATGCACTCATTTGTTCAGTGGAAAACTCAATAGAATCATGAGTGTTGGATTCTAGTGCGTCATTTCATGCTAGTCATTCCAAAGATGTGATGTAGAACATTGGGCATTACCAAGGGAAGGTCAGGTTGGCAGATAACAAGTGTTTGATACATCATGAGTATCGGAGATGTGGTTCTCAAGGCGACTTTGGGTACGGATTGGACTTTGAAGAATGTCAAGTTCATTCCAGATCTAAAGAGGATGTTGATATCAGTTGGACAACTTGATAATGAAGGTCATCAT